AGCAGATGTTACAGAGACCGTGAGTGACGTTTTAACCAGCAAAAACTAAAATATTTGCTCTCTGTTCCTTTACCAAAAAGTTTGACCAAGAAATTCACAGATTTAAGATGGGTATTGGCTTTACAGATGTTTATTTAATTGTTGGGCTTTATAAGTTAACAAATATGTTACATATATTCTTTTCCATGCACCAAATATCACATCATAAAATATATCATTCAAGAGAGACTGGTTTCTCCATCTTAGCCATTCACTCTCTTACTCTTCTAGAATTCCATTAGGTAGAAATCTATGAAATTGCCGAACTTCATCCTACTTTGGGGTGTGTGTGGGGGTAACGGTTTATTTATTTGTTCCTTTAAAAAAATTGTGAAATACGCATAACAAGATTCACCAATAGTGGCATTAAGCACAGTCACAATGTTGTGCAACCGTCACCACTACTAAGTCCCAGAGCATTTTCATCACCGCCAAAGAAAACTCTGTACCTGTTAAGCAATTACTTCCCATCCCCTCACCCCCAGCCCCTGGCAACCACTAATCTGCTTTCTGTCACTATAGATTTGCCAAAATTCAACCTATTTTGACCCATAAAAATGGCAATTTCATATGGGTCAACTTAATAACCTTCTAGAGTGTTCTCATTTTTGGTTTCTCCTGGTGTGGAGGGGCCCGGCGCTCAGCATCTTGCAGGATAGCTGTAAAAGTAATCCCACCCCCCCCAGAGCAGCCTTCTGAGGCCTGTGGGGACTCTGTTCTAGGCCCACAGCATCCCCCAGACTTCCAGGTAAGAGCCCCCGCCTCCAGGGACACCAGAAAACCTTAGCCTCCCAGAATCTGAGAAACGTCCATGCAGAGACACAGCGGCAGAGTTTATTAAGATCAAGCGATCTGAGAAACACATCCTCGTAAACTCATCAGATCAGACAAAGTTTGAGCTGATAAAAGACAGCTTCCATGCTCGGTGTCTTCCGTCTCAGTCTCTTTTTCTGACCAGGGTGGGTTACCACAGGGGCCTGGGGTGGGCAGGATGTGGGAGACGAGGAGCCCTCCCAGAATCTGGTGGAAGCAGGCAGAGGGGATGTTTCTTTCTTTCTTTCTTTTTTTTTTTGTGAGGAAGATCAGCCCTGAGCTAACATCTGCCAATCCTCCTCTTTTTGCTGAGGAAGACTGGCTCTGGGCTAACATCCGTGCCCATCTTCCTCCACTTTATATGGGACGCCGCCACAGCATGGCCTGACAAGCGGTGCCTCGGTGCACGCCCGGGATCCGAACCGGCGAACCCTGGGCCGCCACAGCGAAGCGCGTGCACTTAACCCCTTGCGCCACCGGGCGGGCCCCATGGTGGGGGGGATGTTTATTTCCACAGGGATCTGGGGCCTGGCTCAGCCAAGACAGGGTCACCCAGAGAGGGGCTGGGAGATGCCCTGGGTCACATGGTCCCAGTCTCTTGACTCAGAAACAACTTCCTTTAACAACACGATTTTCTTCTGTAAACAACAACAAAAGGAATATATAAATAGATTCCCTGAACCTCTAGACCACACACAGAGAGAAGTGCAAACACAAGAACTGCTGAATAAGGCTTGGAAGGTGGAGAGCCACTCACTCTTGCTCAACCTGCATTCTTAATGTAAATTTTAAGAATTTATACTATATTCTTTTTGTTGTCGTTAATGTAACAATCATGTCCATAGCGTATCCCATGTGCCTGGCACTGTTGTGTGTGTTTTAAAGATTTTTTTTTTTTTATTTTTCCCCCCAAAGCCCCAGTAGATAGTTGTGTGCCACAGCTGCACATCCTTCCAGTTGCTGCATGTGGGACGCGGCCTCAGCACGGCCAGAGAAGCAGCACGTCGGTGCGAGCCCGGGATCCGAACCCGGGTCGCCAGCAGTGGAGCGCGCTCACTCAACCACCAAGCCACGGGGCCGGCCCTGTTGTGTGTGTTTTAAATCTCTTCATCTGTTTAATGCTCGTGGCAAAATGCCCACTTCACAGATGAGGAAGTTGAGGTTCAGAGGGGCTGAGGCCTGGAAACCCGACGGCCGTGGACCTGGAGTATAAATCTTATTGTTCAGGCTCTTGAGTCTGTGTTGTCAGCCCCCGTGCTATGCCGGGAGGCAGGTTCAGAACTGCATTGGTCAACAGCTTCTCATTTTAAAGATGGAAAACTGAGCCCCACAGAGGGCATAGGATTTGTTTGTGTTGTGTCTGCCTCTGAGGCCTCAGGCCCTGCTCTTGGCAGCCTTGGACTTTTTGTGGAAGTTGTGACCCTGAGCTGTCTCCCTCAGACTGTGGGAGGCGAGAGGAATGTTTATCTGAAGGGAAGGGCTGGACACGCCATTGGAGGCTGGGAGGGGGGTAGCGGGCAGTGGGTGCTTGGTGAGGAAGACCTCAGAGGGCCCTGTGGGAAGACCGAGTCCAGGCCAACTGCCCCAGGCCAGGAAGGTCAAGCCACACTCACACTGGGGTGGGGGACACTGTCAGCTCTCCACCCATGGGAGCCCTCTCCAGCCTCATCTGCTGCCCGTAATTTTGGGATATGTGAGTCATGGGAAGAATACAGGACAAACACACCCTAGGAGTAGGACAGGGCCACTCCTGTTTCTCCCTGGTTATGAAGATTTGCTGGGGCCCGTGAAGTGGCAGTGCCCAGCGGTGTCCCATAGGAGCCCTGGCAAACGGGACGAACTTCTAGGAATCCACTAGCTGCCAGACGCGGAGGACAGACCCCAGACCACCCGGATCTCTACTGTGGGCCCGGATCGCGCTCCCAAGTGGCATTCAACCAAACTGGAGACCCTCTTGCAAGAGACGGTAAGGATGGAGGGAAAGAGGGTGGAGGGTTTCACAATCTTGGCTTTTAGACTCATTATTCTCAGAATCTTGGAATCAGGACCAGAATTTGGGAAGTGGAATCTTATCACCATTTCATTGGAATCCACATCGGAATCCCAGACACTTGGGATTGCCTTGGGCAGCCCAACAGAAAAGCTTTTGTCAAAGGATGCCAATATATTGTCACACTCTGCTGTATAGGAACCAGCCATCCTCAATCCTGGAGGAACTCCTACAGCTTCGGGAAGAATCCACCAAACGGTAACCTGCCCGATGCACAAGCTCTTTGACTGAGCAATTCCACTTCTTAAGCAGGGTTCTTTAGCTTTCTTTTCCTGTGTAACATACAGACAGAAAGCAGGCATGTCAGATCTGGGTGGCTCCGTTATTTACAGGAGACGAACACACCCAGGTACCCAGCACCCAGGTCAAGAGACAGCACGAGCCGAGTTCCAGACCTGCTCTGGTCCCCCTGCCAGTCACCACCCCCCATAGTTCTTGTGCCCATTTTTGACCTTTATGTGAATGGGATCATTCCTTAAATTCTCCTGTGCGTCTGGCTCTCTCCCCTCAACATCGTATCAATGAAATCCATCCACGTTCTCGTGTGTGGTTTCTTCATTACCATTGTTGTAGAATATTCCACTGTGTGAATACACCATGATATGTTTATTCATTCTCCTGTGGGTGAATATTTGGATGGTTTCCATCTTGGGGGGCTGAGAACATTCTAGAACCTGTCTTCTGGCGAGCATATGTGTGCTTCTCTGGGAGGGGGGCGAGGTTTCATGTGTTCAGTAGATTCTGCCCCATGGCCTCCAGGAGCAAAAGGCCCAGCAAGAACTGGCTGATTTACAAACATACACACGCCAAGAGCGCGCACAGTAACAATAGTGTTAAAAGTAACAATAGTCTTAAAAGTAACAATAGTGTTCTAGATGCTGGGGACACAGGGAGGCCCAAAGCAGGGAACAGCTGTCGCTCTGGAAAATGGGGGTAATAATAATCCTGCTATTCTGGGAAAACAGGGTTAATAATAATATCTGTCTGATAGGGTTGTTGAAAGGGTTACACCTGGTGCATAACAGATGCTCAATAAATGTCATCTATCATTCAAATTATTATAAAATAATAATGATAGTAATTATGTTTTATATATAGATACAAATATATAAATGTAATTTATTTATTGTACAAAATAATATAAAAATAATAACGCTACTCATGATTATCATTAGATGTCCCTTAGTCCGAGGCTGGTTAATAAGCATGAGATGCCCGCCAGGGGGCTGATTTTGAAGCCATTGTGAAGAAAGGAGTTGATGTGGGTGCAGACAGGGAAACAGACGGCAGACACATTCAGTGGAAAAGATTAACAGATGACACAGTGGGTGTTGAATCCTCCCATTCTGTTCATATATTCAAAGGGAAATACCATAGACTGGTTGAGTTGCTTACACGCAGAAAATTTCCTGGATGTTAACCAGGTGGGGTGGGGAGGGAGGGTGTGCCTGGAAAATGTGTCAGCAGCTATCACGTGTCTAACACTCGCTGTGGACTAGCCGCTGGGCTTAGCTCTTCACGCCTATTAACCTGTTGAATTCTCATAAAACTCTCTAAGGTAGGTATATTATTCTCATTTTACAGATGGGGAAACTGAGTCACAGAGAGGTTAAGTGACTCGCCAAAAGCCACACAGCTGGTGGGGGGTTGAGGTTTTAAAGCCTGCACACGTTTTACTCTACTGATGGAAGTACTGTGAAAGCAGAGGGCCAGACTCGAAACACACGCACACAGTGGCTTGGCCTCTTCGTGGCTGCCTGTCTGGGTGAAGGGGGTGGAAGGAAGGGCCGGGGCTTCCCTTCTGCCTTTCCTGTTGCATCAATCTCGGCTGCAGCCCCATGCCAGCCAGCCTAGAAGGATGAGCAGAGAGCCACAGGGCCAGGTCTCTCTGACACCACGCTGGATGGTCTGCTGTCTATCCAAGCTCTTGTACTGCGCCACATGCATTACACGTATTCTCTCCTCTGGGCCTCCCCAAACCGGTGAGGTAGGTTCACCTTGGTGATTCTCATTTCTCAGCCGAGGAAACCGAGAGAGGCAGCTGCAACTGCTCAGCCGGAGTCACACAGCCCGGGGCTCCTCAGGACCACTGGCTATACCGCCTTCCGACTCTCCCGAATCTAAGATTTTTGGAAGATGATATTCTAGGGCTCGGAGTTCTGGAGTGGGACTAACACAGTTGGAAACTCAGCTCTGTTACCTGCTTAGCTGAGTGATCTTGGGTAAGTTACTTAACTTCTCTGTGCCTCGGTTTCCTCATCTGCAAAATGGGTATCATAATAGTGTTAAAATCAGAGGGTTGTTATAAGGATTAAATGATACAACGTTGAGAGGTGCTTGGAGCAATGCCCGGCACAGAATACAAGAGCTCAGTAGAGAGTGGCTTATAATAATAATATTATTATTAATAATAATAATAGTTGTTATTATTATTGCTATGATAAATTATGCTGCTTCTCTGATCAGCACCCTCCCATACCTCCCATCTCACATGGAATAAAAAACGAAGTCCTGGGCCGGCCCCATGGCTTAGTGGTTAAGTGCGCGTGCTCCGCTGCTGGCGGCCCGGGTTCGGATCCCGGGCGCGCACCGAGGCACTGCTTCTCCGGCCATGCTGAGGCCACGTCCCACATACAGCAACTAGAAGGACGTGCAGCTATGACATACAACTATTCTCTGGGGCTTTGGGGGGAAAAAAAAAATAAATAAAATTATTAAAAAAAAAAAACAACGAAGTCCTTACAATGCCCCATGAAGCCCCTGATATCTCTGTTCTTACCTCCCCCAATCCTCCTTGTCTGCTCCACTCCAGCCGGTGTCCTCCCTGTTCCTTGAACATGACCATCATGTTCCCACCTCAGAGCCTTTGCACTGGCTGTTCCCTCTGCCTGGAACTCTCCTCCCTCAAATCCTCACATAGCTTCCTCCCTCATCTCCTTTGTCATTTTGCTCAAAATGTCACCTTCTCATTGAGGCCCTTCTTGACGACTCATTTAAAATTCCAACATTTTTTTTTCTTTGGCCATAGCATTGATCCCCTTCTAAAATACTGCATATTTTGTATTTATTCCTTTACTGTCTGACTCCTCCCACTGGAGCGGCAGCTCCCAGGGAAAGTGGGTTTTATGGGCCTTGCCCCCGCTGTGCGTCCCCCACCTGGAACAGAGACGGTCCTCAGGAGCTGTGTCGAATGAATGAATGAACCGTAGAGAACTCAACATTTTATTTTTCCTCTTTTCCTAACACTATTGTTACTTTTGAAAATTGCTCTAGTAGGATTCCAGAAATTTCTGTTTCTCGATCTGGTTGCTGGTTACACGGATTGTTCAGGTTATGAAACCCAGCAAAGGTACCTGTGTGATGTGCACTTTGCCATCTGCATGTTTTACTACGATCTAGTTTATATTTCAAAAAAAAGACGACAAAATTGTTCCAGAGATACATTTTCATTGCACCAAGATTTGAAAACAGAGATGAGGAGGACCAAGACAAATAGTTTTGCTGTGAATATATATTAACTTTTTCCCCTCTTGGTGGATATTCAGATTCCAATATTTTAAATTCTAAAATTCCAGGGCTAGTGTTCTAACATTTGAATGCTCTAGAACTTCCCTGTCCAATAAGGTAGCCACTAGCCATGTGTAGCTATTTAAATTAATTGCAATTAACTAAAATTGAAAATTTACTTTCTTGGTTGCACTGGCCCCATTTCAAAGGCTCAGTGGCTGGCAGCTGCCATATTGGACGGTAAAGATATAGAACATTTCCATCAACGTTGAAATTCCACAGTGCCTCTCTAGAATTCCGCATAATTGGCTAGGGTTCTGATAGCTTAACATTTTGGAATTCCAAGACTTTTTAGCACGCTAGTGTTCTAACATTGTAATGTTCTAGAATTCCAGGATGCTCATGAGCCAGTGTTCTAACCCTTTGGCATCTAGAATTCCAATGGTGCAATATTGTAGAATTCCAAGATGCTAATGAGCTACTTGTAACATTTTGGAATTAGCTAGTTTAATTTGATTGTTCTAGTTTCCAATATCTTAAGGTACTGGAGTTCTAACGTGGTCATGGTCTAGTTTCCAGGATGCTAATGGGCTGGGGTTCCTACACTCTAGGATTCGGATTCATCGTGGGGCATCCCGGCCTTTCTCTCTGTCCAGGTGTCTGGGGCCTGGATGGAGAACGCTTCTCTCGCCCACGACTATGAGCATTACGGCGAGATTCCGGATGTCCCCGTGGACTGCGCTGACGACTCCTGCGTCTTGGTCGACCCCCTGGGCACGGCCCCGCTCCTGCTCTATGCTGCGGTCTTCCTGGTGGGGGTGCCGGGCAATGCCATGCTGGCCTGGGTGACCGGGAAAGAGGCCCGCCAGAGGGCCGGTGTCACCTGGTTCCTCCACCTGGCCGTGGCCGACCTGCTCTGCTGTCTGTCTCTGCCCGTGCTGGCGGTGCCCATCGCCCGCGGGGGCCACTGGCCGTACGGGGCGGCGGGCTGCCAGGCCCTGCCCTCCGTCGTCCTCTTGTCCATGTACGCCAGCGTCCTGCTGCTGGCCGCTCTCAGCGCTGACCTCTACCTGCTGGCCCTCGGGCCCATCTGGTGGGCTGCGGCTCGGGGGACACGCAGGGTGCACGCAGCCTGCGGGGTGGCCTGGGTGCTGGCATTGCTGCTGACAGTGCCCTCGGCCTTCTACCGCCGGCTGCACCAGGAGCACTTCCCACGCCGGCTGGAGTGTGTGGTGGACTATGGTGGCTCGGCCACTGCTGAGAACACAGTGACCGCCATCCGGTTTACTTTCGGCTTCCTGGGGCCACTGGTGATCGTGGCCAGCTGCCACGGCGCCCTCCTGTGCCGCGTGGCCCAACGCCGCTGGCCGCTGGGCATGGCCGTCGTGGTGGGGTTTTTCATCTGCTGGGCCCCCTACCACATGCTGGGGCTGGTACTCACCGTGGCTGCCCCGCACTCAGTGCTCCTCGCCCGGGCCCTGAGGGCTGAACCCCTGGTCGTGGGCCTTGCTCTTGCTCACAGCTGCCTCAATCCCATGCTTTTCCTGTATTTCGGGCGGGCTCAACTCCGCCGGTCACTGCCAGCCGCGTGTCACTGGGCCCTGAAGGAGTCACAGAGCAAGGAGGAAAGTGTAGTCAGCAAGAAATCCACCAGCCATGACCTGGTCTCGGAGCTGGAGGTATAGGCCAGAGGGAAGCTGGTTTGTAGCCTCCTCTCTCATTTCACAAAACTGGCTTCAGGCATAGCTGGATCCAGGGGCTCAATGATATTGTCGTGTATTCCTTTATTCATTCAAAACATTCATTATGCACCTGCTGTGTGAAAGACCCTATTATAGGCCCTGGGGATGTAGCAGTGACCTAAACAGACACAAATCCCTACCCTCAAGGAGCTGACATTCTAGTGGAGGAAGACAGAGAATAAGCAAAGAAATAAAGGAATGTGGAACATGTCAGGTGGTGATAAATGCTAAGAAACCGAAAGGTGACAAAGAGGGCTGGGTGGGGCAGGGATATAGGTAGCCAGCCAAGGCCCCTTGGGTAAAATGATATTTGAACCAAGACCTGAAGAAGGGAGGGACGAGTCATGCTTAAATCTGAGAGAAAGCATTCCAAGCAGAGAGAACAGCAAGTGCAAAGGCCCTGGGGCAGAATGTGCTTGGCATATTTCAGGAACAGTGAAGAGGCCAGTGTGGATGGAGCAGAGTGAGCAGGAGGGAGAGCGGTGTGAGATGAAGGGAGAGAGGTAGTCGGGGCTGGACTTTGAAAACCTTCTGGGCCATAGCAAGTGTCCAGGGATCCATGAGAGGTTCTGAGCTACCGTTACCAGATAAAATACCAACACCCAATTAAACTTGAGTTTTGGATAAACAACAACAAAATTGCTTTAGCATGAGTATGTCCCATGCAATATTTGAGACATACTTAAACTAAAAAATTGTTTGTTGGGGCCGGCCCCGTGGCATAGTGGTTAAATTCAGTGCACTCCACTTTGGTGGCCTGGGTTTGTGGGTTCGGATCCCAGGCACGGACCTACAGCACTCGTCAGCCATGCTGTGGTGGCGACCCACATATAAAGTAGAGGAAGATTGGCAGCAGATGTTAGCTCAGGGCTAATCTTCCTCAGCAAAAAAAAAAAAATTATCTGAGATTCAAATTTAACTGAGCATTCTGTATTTTATTTTTCTTGATTTGGCTTAGATTTTAGTAGGACCCTTCTGATTGCTGGTGGGAACTAGACTCTAGGGGAGGGGAGAGGGAAGTGAGGAGGCAACGGCAATAGTCCAAGCAAGTGACAGTGACTTGGATCAGGGTACTAGCAGAAAGATGGTGAGAGAGTGACAGATGATGGATCTACTTTGAAGAAAAGGCCACGTCCAAGCTCCTTAACCTAGTATTCAAGGCTTCTCTCCACCACTGGACACACTTATATTCCATCTGCTCAGATCGTGTAGCAGACAGAATAATGGCCCCTAGTGAGGTCCACATCCTAATCCCCTGAACCTGTGAGTATGTGACCCTACATGGTAAAACCAGGACTTTGCAGATGTGATGAAGTTAAGGATCGTGAGGTGGGGAGCGTCTCCTAGGTCATCCCTGTGGGCCAAATATAATCACAAGGGTCCTTATAAGAGGGAGGCAGGAGGCTCAGAGTCAGTAGCAGGAGATATGACAACGGAAGCAGATGTCAGAGTGATGTGAGGAAGAGGCCACAAGCCAAGGGATGCAGGCAGCCTCCAGAAGCTGAAAAAGGCAAGGAAACGGATTCTCTCCGAAGCCCCCAGAAAGAACGCAGACTTGCTGACACCTTGATTTTAGACTTCTGACCTCCAAAACTTTAATAGAATAAATTCATGTTAAGTCACTAAGTTTGTGGTAACTTGTTACAGCAGCCACAGGAAACTAACACAGATCCTCTGGACTGTATTATTTTCACGCCTCTGGAACTTTTCTTAAACTAGTGCCACTGCCCGGAATGCCCTTCCGATCTATGCTGCCCAGTCTGGTAACCGCTAGTTGTCTGTGGCTATTCAAGTTAATTCAAATTAAAAATTTAGTTCCTGGGGCTGGCCCGGTGACCTAGTGGTTAAATTTGGCGTGCTCTGCTTTGGTGGCTCGGGTTCGGTTCCCGGGTGTGGACCTACACCACTCGTTGGTGGCCATGCTGTGGCGGCGACCCACATACAAAATAGAGGAAAATTGGCACAGATGTTGTCTCGGTGCGAATCTTCCTCAGAAAAAAAAAATTGAGTTCCTCAGTCACACTAGCCGCAGTTCAAGTGTTCAATAGCCACATGTGGCTGGTGGCTACCATATGCGGCATGCAGATACAGAATATTCCCATCACTGCAGAAAGTTCTACTAGACAGGGCTACTGTAGAATCTCACCTGCTCAGATCTTTTAAATTACACAGTAGTGGCACCTGTGTGAAGAGTCATTACTCCAGGACAGCACTTTACACATAGTTTCCCCTTTAAGGTAATTCTTACAACAACCCAGGGAGATGCTTCATTTTATAAGCCAAGGCCCAGAGAGGGGAGGTCATTTGCCCAAGATCACACAGCAAGGAAATGATAGAGTTGAGATTCCACCCCACATTTACTTGACTCCAGTGCCCATGCTCTGAATCATCAAGATTTTCCTTCAATGCCTTGCTCAAAAGACACTTCCTCCAGGGAGCCCTCCCTGATTCATTCCCCTCTCAGGGAGGAAGCAGTGTTCTTCTCTTCTCCAAGTTTCCAGAATGCAAGTTCTCAGCTACACTGTAAATTCCCCAAGGGTAACAACTGGGCCACTTTAATTTCTGTCTCTCATAGACCCATCCCAGGTCTTAGAGAGAGCCAAACTATCTTTGTCTATGCCCTGTTTGCTTCCAACTACACTGTGAGCTCCCTGACAGTGGGGATCTCTTTTTTCTTTATCTGATACAGGGACACATAGTAGGTCCTCAACAATACGTATGTTATTCAGAATTCTCATGTATGAATTACTAAGACCAAGACTGCTTCGTAGAATGAATTACGTCCTGGGACAATTTATTTAGCTTCATGAAAAATTGGGAGAAATCTTACTGTTAATCCATTGGGGCCGGGTGCCATTTAGGAGAGTTCTTCTCTGCTACATTTTATAAAAGTCTTTTGTGTTTTTCAAAATTTGTTTTCATTTCTTATTGCATTAGCCTTACTTCTTGTTAAGAAGAATCAATTTCACAAAAGCTTTCAAATGTATTTCTGTGCAATTTTACATAGAAGTCCCTTGATCATTAAAGATAATCTTGCTTTTTGTTTGTTGTAACTTCCCCTTTTTTGTTCCTAAATTTGTTTGTTCTATTCATTTTCACCACGAATGTATTGATTTCCTTAAGTTTCCAAGGAACTCGGTCTGAATGGTTTTTCCAAGAACTAGTTTCAAGTTTGCCTCTCAGTTCTAGTGTTGGTAGGTTGTGACTTTCTTCTTAATTGCATATTTATTGTTTACTTCCTCCTTTTTCCTTTAAAAAAATTGTAGTTCTCTTTTGCAAATTTTAAGTAGAGTTTTTATGCAATTTCTTCCCCTTCTCCTTTTGATAATGACATATGACTTGGTCTCTGTATGTCCAAATTGTTTCCCAAAGATTTGATAATTACATCCAACTTCCCACTTGACATCCCAACTCGATGTCCAATATGTAACTCAAACTTATGCTCAAAATGGAACTCTGGATTTTCTCTCTCAGCCTTTCTTCCATATCTTCTTGATATCAGTTGATGGCAACTCCATATTTTCAGGCATTCAGGCCAAAAATTCAGGGTCATCCTTGACGCCTCTCTTTCTCTTGCATTCCATGGCCAACCCATCAGCCAATCCCTCTGAGTTCTACCTTCAAGATATCTCCAGAATCTGACCTCTGCTCACTGTCTTCCTTGCCATCATCCTGGTCCAGCTGCCACCACTTCTCACCTATTGCAGCAGCCTCCTCTCTGGCCCCCTTTTCTCATCTTGGTCCCTACAGTCTGTTCCCCACATGGGAGCCAGAGGATTTTGTTAAAATCTAAGTCAGAACACGTCTCATGTCTCTCCCCTGCTCAGACTCCTCCAATGGCTCCCACCTCACACAGATTAGAAGCCAAAGTCCTCGCCATGGGCTATATATGATCTATCCTCCTCCTCTCATTGGCTCATTCCCTCTATTTCCCCCACCCTCACTCCAGCCACACAAGCCTGCTGGCTGCTCCTTGAACCCACCAAGTTTGTTCCCATCTCAGTCTTTGCTGTTTTCTCGATCTAGAATACTCTCCCCTAGGGATCCCCGTGGCTCACTGCCTCACTTTTTTTTTTTTTTTTTAGCTCTCTGCTCAAATGCTTCTTTCTGAGAGCTGTCTCCTCTGACCATGCTACTTGAAATAGCGTCACTCCTTGCCCCTTTCCCACTTTGTTTTTCTCCATAGAGCACTGGCAGTACTGCGAGACCTTCTATTTATTTTTATTTATGTGTCTGATGGGAGCAGAGACTTTATCTGTTTTGTTCACTGCTGTATCCTCAGTGCCTAGAACCGACTCCAGAACTGAAGGCTGTACCTTCTTAACGGCAATATTGTCCTAAGGAAAAAGAATGATGGGAAGGATATTATAATAAAAATAAAAGCTCTAATGTTATTGAGCGCCTATATGTACAGTAGTGAGAAAACAGTTTATATACCTTCGGGATACTTTTAAATTTATTTTTCCTAACCATCTTGAAAAGGAGGTATTATCCTCACGTTATAAATAGGGAAACCGAGGCTCAGTCCCCCAATGACTGGTTCGTCTAGGACTAAAGAGGACTCACTCTTCTTGTTCATTTGGTCATTCATTCAACAAACCTTTACCGACTACCTAATCCCTGTGCGGACGCTGGAGAACATAGGGCGTCCAAGAAAGAATTGGCCCTCGCCTTCAGGGAGCTGGGGAGTCGAGTTAGATTATTTGTTAATGAATTGATAAGGTGAATTACACATTAATAGAATTATGCCTTAATAATTATAACTTATAATTAATAAACCATGAGAGTGTTTTATAGCGTCTGGGCGCTGAGCAGCTCCCTCGATGGGTTAAATTCCCGGCGCCCCGGCGATCCTGGGGTGCAGAGGGCTGTGCAGGGGCCGGAGCGGGGCGGGGGAGGAGGCGCTTGCAAGTATCCATCGCAGCGCCTCTACCCGCCCTTAGAGGGCGCAGCACCACTCGAGGCGGGGCCAGAGCGTGCTGTGCGCAGGCGCAGAGTGGGCCTTGGGCGCCCGCAGCTGCCCACTGGCTGCTCTGCCTGCGGAGGGGCGGGGCCGGGCCTTGAGGATGGCGTGCGCAGGCGCAGGACCGGCTTCGGGCGCGCGAGGGGCGCTGGGTACCGGAAGTCGAGGCATTGGTGGCGACTAGTGAGGTGAGGGGGCGGGGCGGCGGCGGCGGCGGCGGCGGGAGTCGGAGCGGGTCAGGGGAGCAGGGGGGCGAGCGGAGGGGCGGAGGGAAATCCCGAGATGAGGACGTGTGTCGGCGGAGGCCGAGTTCGGGAGGAGCGGACGGAGATGCAGCCTGAGCCCTGAGCGTCCCTGAGAACCTGGGGGACAGAGACGCCCGAGGCTGAAAGAAATGGAGGCTCGAAAAGAATCTGCGAGAGACTGAGGGACCAGAGGCAGGGAGGTTGAGGAGGAGGGAAGCTGAGAACCAGGAGAGCCAGGGCGAGGGGCTCTGGTTGCCCCCGGGGCGCTCGCCGAGGCGAGGAGAGACATGTGATCGCACCGCGGGCTGGGAGGTGGAGGAAACGGAGGCGGATGAGAAATAGAAATAGACCGGAGGGGAGGACAGGGTAAATGGAGGAACAGGAGACCGAGGGGCGGGAGAGACGGACAGACGCGGAACGATGGAGACAGCGCAGTAGGGAGAAACTGCCAGAACTGCCCCCAGAGGGATCGAGAGACGGGAGGAGCCAGCTGAGGGAGGGAGACCTGGAGAGAGAGGCAGAGACGAGAAGGAGCGAGATGGATGGAGAACGGGAGAGATGATAGGCGGACGAGGGGAGTGATCCTCAGTGTGCAGACACGGAGAGAGATGAAGAGACAGTGCCGCTGGAGAAATGGAGGGAGAGCCACTAGACCCGAAAGGACGGCGTCAGGCTTAAAAATGGAGGGATACAGCCGGACAGGGGGGAATCAGTGAACAGTGAGAGAGAGGAGTAAAGCCTGAACCCTTAGATTTGAGTTCCTCGCCTGCCACTTACTACCTAATCTCTGGTTAGGTAGTAAAACCTAATCTGTGGTTCAGTGACATAGTGATAATAGCACCTTCTTAGGGTTGTGAGAGAAGTGGATGTGTGCGTATAAATGTATTTGAGTGACTTAGAGTGGTACCTGAGACGTGAGGAAGTGTTCGCTGTTATTAAAGCTTCCAACAATTGGGAGGCAAAATATTCGATGGAGAAGTGGAGAGAGATGAAGAGAGCGCTATGACCGGGGCGGAGACAGCGATGGAGAGTGAGAACTGGGGAGACAAAGATGGAGAGTCAGAAAAGATGAAAACAGAAGATGAGAAAGTCAGGTGGAGAACTGAAGGGTACTGGAGTCAAGTGGAGAAAGATAGCTGGAGAGAAAATCAGACTAAAGAACGGAATCAGTGGGAGAGGATCAGATAAATGAAGAGAGAGGGGACCAGACTAGGAAAGGGAAGAGAGGTGAGGGTGGTGAGCAAGATGGCCTGGAAAAGACAAGAGACTGAGACCAGAGGATGGAGAGCTAGAGAGGAGGGAGATAGGGAAGCAGAGAAAACCTCGAAAAGCTGTCAGCCTAGGAAAGGTAGGGCAAGAGACCAAAAGATGGTCAGAGACACAGGTATAGAGAAATTAGCACATCCAGACAGTCTAAAAGGTAGCCTGAGAATAGACTTCTTGAGAGCGGCGAGGCATTAGGCAGCCTGCGGCCTGAGACGAATGCTCTCCTCCATTTTATTGTCCCCATCCTTTTCTGAGAATCACTGGCCCAGTATCACAGTGGCCTTTTAAGGCCTTTTCCTTTTCTTCCTTCCTAGAACAGGAATTCTCTTTGAAGCCGCGGTGGCATCACCCAGCCCAGGTGTTTACCAAGAAGTGATGTGCCCTCCCCACAGGTTACTGCTTCTGGGGGAAACAACTCTGGCAGTGTACAAGTTCTTCCTCAGTTGACACCCTTAACTGGCTCTAATAACCCCCAGGGTTGGCCTGAGGTCCCCCTGAGACCGCAGAGATCCAGTCTCTGAACTCTGTTCCATGATGGCCCTTGAGAGACTGAAGGCGGAGTAGCTGACCGCATCGCTAATACCATTATGAAGGCCAGTTGTGGCCTGTTGAGTGTAATTTTTCTCAGGTTATATGCCCCCGATTCCTCTCACTGTGTTCCTTCTGTTAGTCGTCATGCAGAGAAAGCACTGGCTTTGAGTACTAGTTACTGTTTAGCTCCTCTGTGCCAGGCTGGGTGATAAACAGTGCAGTATTTTGGGATAGGTATGTCCCCATCTTAGAGATGAAGAAAACAGCCTCGAAGTTAATTTGTGGATGGTCACACATCTAGTAAATGACGAGGCTGAGATGCAAACCCAGATCTGCTTGACTCCAAAACCATTACCACGGAAAGCTCTGAACCCTTCTAAGATCATAAACCCCTTAAAGAATCTGAGTGATGGACATCCCTCCGGAAAATTGCACATATGAGGGCGTGCTCTTTATTAGTGAGAACTCACGCAGCTGAAGCAGAAGGACGTTTTCTTGTGTAGCTGGGAAGTGGAGGGCTGGAGGGAACTAGGCCTCAAGCACTAAAGGATGTTGCCAAGCTTCTCTGCCCTCTTCCCCTTCTCTCCTCGTAATGGCTCATTGACCATCCTGGTGCGTGCCTGTTTGTGCCCACGGGCAGGCTGTTCTCTAGGATAGCTTTCTAGAAAGACTCATCTTCAGGAGCTACTGCAAACAGCTCTGGGTTTATGTCATCTTTGCCTAGCCACAGTAGATAAAAGGAGAGCTCTTCTCTCCTAGTTAACAGTCTAAATTCCAGAGAAAGGCCCTGATTGGCTTTCCCCGGGTCATGTGTCCCCTCCTCAGACCAATCACCAGTTAAAGGGAGAGAAGGGTCCCATGATTGGCCAGGCCTCTGTCACCTGCCCAACCAACGAGGGTTCTCTGGCTTAAAGGCGGTCAGAACTGCGTGGAATCCAGGAAGGGCTGCTCTCCAAAGGAAGGTGTGTCCTGTTATCAGAAAAAGAAGAAAGGGGCGTGCCAGGCAGGCAAAAACAATACATAAATAACGCAACTCTTGCAAAATTGAGCACATAATTTCAAAGGGTTCCTGGTGTCCTGAAGCTCAGTAGACCCCAGATTAGAAACCCTCGCCTTACTCTGTCGTCATACCGCACCTCTCTCGGGTTACTGCCTCCTGTGACAAGGTTCTGCTGTCGATTGGCCGTGTGACCTACACTCCTTCAGGTCTCTGGTTAAATGTCCCCTCCTCTGAGGATCCTTCCTTGACTTCCAAGCCTGGTCAGGGAAGGCTCCCAGAGCCCCAGTCCCTGGATTGTCTGAGTCTGGGGAAATGTCTGTCTCTCGCATGTGACCACGACCCCCTGTGGGGGCTCAGCTGGTCTGACTCATTACCATCCCTCTTCCTAGTCCGGTGCTTGCAAAACAGCAGGCTTTCAGTAAACGCTTCTAAAAATGAATGAGCATCTTCTGTTCTCTCCCCAAAACATTCAGAGCCTGAAAACCCAGGATGAACTTGTGTCCATCCCAGAGATCGCTGCAGGAGTCATGAGGTGCTCTGTGTGTCACCAGCCTGACCCGGGCCCCTGGCCACTTACTCCGTCCTCACCTGCGGTGGTCCTGTACTGTCAGTAAGGAGGCAGATTGGCTCTTTGGAGAGAAGGTGGTTCCTTATCGCAGGCTCTGAGCTCTCACTGCAGGAGGCAGGGAATGGATGGGAAGATCTGGTCCAGGCGATCAGAACCGAGGCCAGTTTTGTGACAGCATTGTGATCAGCCACAACATGCCTCCTCCCAGGACAAGGGAGGGCAGGGATCCCCGAGACCGACACCGGGCTCCCAGGGAGGAGGAGGCCCCGGAGAAATGGGACTTTAATTGTCCAGACACACGTCGCCTCTTCGAAGATGCCTTCTTCCGTGATGAGGATTATATCCGCCAGGGTTCCGAGGAGTGCCAGAAGTTCTGGACCTTTTTTGAACGCTTGCAGAAATTCCAGAATCTCAAGACTGCCAGGAAGGAGGAGAGGGATGCCCAGCATCCTAAGCACAGCATCCCAGCGCTGGCCGACCTGCCTTGCACTTACGATGCGCGGTACCGCATCAACCTCTCCATCCTTGGCCCTGACCCGCGGGGCGCTCGGGGGCTGGGCGGGCGCCTGCCACCAGAGAGAGTGTCCGAGTTCCGCCGAGCCCTGTTGCACTATCTGGACTTCGGCCAGAAGCAGTCATTCGGGCGGCTGGCCAAGCTACAGCGTGAGCGGGCAGCTCTTCCCATCGCCCAGTATGCGAACCGCATCCTGCAGACGCTGAAGGAGCACCAGGTGGTGGTGGTGGCGGGTGACACGGGCTGTGGCAAGTCCACTCAGGTGCCCCAGTACCTGCTGGCCGCCGGCTTCAGTCACGTGGCATGCACCCAGCCCCGGAGAATTGCCTGCGTCTCCCTGGCCAAGCGTGTTGGCTTTGAGAGCCTCAGTCAGTATGGCTCCCAGGTGAGCGGGACGTAACAGGTTTCCAGCTTTTCCGGGGTAAGCTTGAGGAATAAGTTGCTTGCCCGTATGGTAGTATCGAGAAAAGTTACAAAAGCACTGACCCTTCGACCCAGTGATGATTCTTCTAGAAATTTTTCGACAGATTGGCCTGAATATGTTCCAAATGACAAAGACACTAACATTCTCCAGTATAGCACTTACACAGTAAAAAATTGGAAATGTCCTAAATTGCTTTTTTAGCATCCATAGGAAAAGAATGAGGATACTTCCTTCCTGATGATTTCTAGGGTTCTAATCCAGGATCTACCACTTAAAAATTGTTGTTGGGGCTGGCCCAGTGGCGTAGTGGTTAAGTTCATGTGCTCCGCTTTGGCGGCCCAGGTTTGTGGGTTTGGATCCCAGGCGTGGACCTACACCACTTGTCAGCCATGCTGTGGCGGTGACCCATACACAAAATAGAGGAAGATTGGTACAGATGTTAGCCCAGGGCCAATCTTCCTCACATACACAAAAAAATTGTTTTTGAAGTTATAAGACTGTAAACACAGAACAAGGCACATATCATATGTATGCAGCTGAGTGCATTTTCACAAATTGAATACATTTATGTAACCAGCACCCCGATTAAAAAAATAAACTTACCAGCACCCCAGAAACCCTCTCGTGCCCCCTTCCAGTTACAACCTTGAGGTGCCAAGGGTTGTCACTTTTCTTAGTGCTAGATTATGACACTTGAGTTAAAGATAGAATATCACAGATTGTGTTTACCTCTTTTTTTTTACTTTTTATAAGTAGAATCAAAAAATGTGTTTTCTCTTGTGTCTGGCCTCTGTTGCTCAATATTAGTTTTGCAAGATTTATCTATAGTGTCTCATAGGTGTACCCTGTTCATTCTCACTGCTGTGTGGTATTCCATTGTGAAGGCACCACGTGTGTTTGTCCCCTCTACTGTGGATGGGAATTTGGGGGATTTCCCGTTTTAGGGTCTTGTGTGAAGGTAAACATTCTAGAACGTACCTTTTGGTGTCTTGGTACGTGTTTCTGTTGGGTGTATATTTAGGAGTGGGACTGCTGGGTCATCAGATCTGCACATGTGTTTTGGCTTTAGTAGGTACTGCCGAACCATTTTGCAAAGTGGTCCTACCAATTTCCACTCCTACCAGTGGTATGTTCTGCATTGTCAGCAAGGCTCGTTATCGTTAATCTTTATATTTTTTAAATTTTATTGAGGTCATATTGGCTTATAATATTGTGCATGTTATCTGTTTAACTTTTGTCATTTTAGCTTTTCTGGTGGTGTGTAGTGATATCACATTTTAATTTGCATTTCCCTGATGACCAAGGACGTTGAGCACCTTTTCACGTATTTATTGGCCATTTGGAGATCCTCCTTTGTGAAGTGTCTGTTCCGGTCTTTTCCCATTTGTCTTTTGTGTTGTCTTTTTGTTCTTGATCCGTAGGGCTTTATAGAATCTGGGTGAGTCCTTTGTAGGATTTATGTATTGCAAATCTTGTCTCCTGCTCTGTGAATTGTCTTTCATTTTCTGAGTGGTGTCTTTTGATGATGGTGTCTTTTCACTTGAATTTAATCCAGTCTGTCATTTTTTTTTTATGGTTGGCACTCTTTGAGTTCTGTTTAAGAAATCTTTGCCTTCTTTAAGGTCATGAAGATGTTTTATGTTTTTTTCTAAAACTTTTTACATTTAGAACTATAATTCATCTGATACTGATTTGTGTGTGTGTGTATGGTGTGAGGTAGGGGTTAAGACACGTTTCCTCTCAATACTACTTTTTAGCTGTGTCACCTTGGAAGAGTGACTTGTTTCCCCATCTGTGAGGTGAGGATAATAATAGTTCCTACATTGTGTGGTGGTTGTGAGGATGGATGTGAGCATTTAAAGTAGTTCCTGGCACATAGTGAGGACTCAAATAAACGTTAGTTATTACTGTTTTAATTCATTAGTATCATGTGCTAGACTCTGTGCCAAATACTTTATGTGCATTAGCACGTATAATTCTCACGGCATCGAGGAGAAGAAAATATGCATCTAAGGGATGGGATTGCTTGCCCAGAGTCAAGGGCCCTAAGTGACAGAGGTGGGATTCCATCCCAAGCCTGTGGGACTCCAGAGTCTGATGGCAGGGGGGTGCATTTGCTCGGATTTTCAATTTGGGCAGGGTGGGGGGCTGGTGCCAGTCTCGGGGTCCTCTCCTGACCAACCCCCCCCCCAACCCTCCCCCAGGTCGGCTACCAGATCCGCTTTGAGAGCACGTGTTCGGCGGCCACCAAGATTGTGTTCCTGACGGTGGGGCTGCTCCTGAGGCAGATCCAGCGGGAGCCCAGCCTGCCCCAGTACCAGGTCCTGATCGTGGATGAGGTCCACGAGCGGCACCTCCACAATGACTTCCTGCTGGGCGTCCTGCGGCGCCTGCTGCCCCAGCGGCCTGACCTCAAGGTCATCCTCATGTCGGCCACCATCAACATTTCGCTCTTCTCCAGCTACTTCGACAAGGCCCCCGTGGTGCAGGTGCCGGGAAGGCTCTTCCCCATCACGGTCAGTGCTCCCCCCACCCCCCACATCCCCATGCCTCCTACCTGGTCTCTGGCCAACCCGGCCATGGCCCTTCTCTTTCCTGCTGCTCTATGTCCTGTCTCTTCAATTAAGGACGTTCTTTCTCTCTCTCTTTTAAAGCTGGTATTTTCTGAGCATTTACAGTGTGCTGGGTAGAGTGCTTAGTGCTTGTTAGAGGAGACCCCAAAACATAAAGCCTCAAGTAAGAAGTTTCTTTCTCTTATATGATGGTTCAGCTGGTCCAGGCTGGTGGGCAGCTCTGTTCCATGTGGTCATTCAGGGACCCAGGCTCCTCCTCTCTCATTGCTCTCCCATCTCATAGCGCAGGGTTTCTCAGACTCAGCACTGTTGACATTTGGGGCTGGATAATTCTAGGTTGTGGGGCTGCCCTGTGCGTTTTAGGATGTTTAGCAGCATTCCTGGGCTCTACCCACTAGATGCCAGTAGCATTCTCCTCCTCGAGTTGTGACAATCCAAAATGTCTCCAGATGTTGCCAGACGTCCCCTGGGGGGCGGAACCACCCCGATAAGAACCACTGTCCTAGGGAGTTGTCCTGGTCTGTGTGGTCAGAGCTCGCAGGAGGAGGGGAGGAGCCAAAGTCTGGGGAAGGCAGTTTAAGTTGGACACGACCTTTCAGTTGCTTTATTCTCATCTCTGAACCCCTCCTAGCTGCAAGGGAGGCTGGAAAATGTTCTGTCTCTCGGTGACGGTGTGCCTGGGAAGAAAAGAGCAGACTTTCTGGGGACCACTGGGTCTCCCACACCACTCAGCACACCTGATCTCATCGTGGTCAGCAGTCCTGGGGGTAGGCCTGCCGCCACTGCATTTTAGTCAGCATCCCCCGCTGAGGTGCAGCCACTGCTGAAATTAAGAGACAGACCTTTAGGGAAAGGAAAGGGAATTTGGCGTTCGTGAAAAATAATGCTTTTTAGGTCCTCTTACAATTTGCTCTACCCCAGCTAGGTGGAGATCCTTTTTAGCATCCCATCTCTTCAGTTTCCCCAGCAACTTCTGCCCTGAACGTTCCGCTTTTTCTCCACCTGTTAGCTGTGGCTTACATTTTGTAGTAATAGTGACGATGATCATTTGTTGTTAGTGCTGTCGAGTCGATTCCGACTCCTAGTGACTCTGTGGACAGGAGAGCAGAACCCTGCCCGGTGTTTTGTTTTTTTTTTTTTGGTGAGGAAGATTGTCCTGAGCTAACATCTGTGCTGATCTTCCTCTGTTTTTTCGATCTTCCTCTATTTTGTATGTGGGACGCTGTCACAGCATGGCTTGATGAGCAGTGTATAGGTCTGTGCCTGGGATCCGAACCTGTGACCCCCAGGCTGCCAAAGCGGAGTGCACAACCTTAACCACTATGCCACCAGGCCGGCCCACCGACCCTGGTCTTTTTGTGCCATCCTCTCCCCTTCTGGCGCTTTGTCAGACAAAGCTCTGCTGCTGTTTGTAGGGTTTCATGGCCAAATTTTTCAGAAGCAAATGGCCAGGTCCTCCTTCCTAGTCTGTCTTAGTCTGGAAGCTCTGCTGAAACCTGTCCACCATGGCTGACCCTGCTGGTATTTGAAATCCTGGTGGCATAGCATTCAGCATCACAGCAACATGCAGCCGCCACAGTCTGACAACTGACAGGTGTGTGGTGTGGTTTCCTGACCGGGAGATGAACCCCAGCTGTGGCAGTGAGAGTGCTGAATCTTAACCACTAGACCACCAGGGCTGGCTGGATGATGATCATACTGACATTTATTGAGTGTGTACTACATGCTACAAATTAACATACAGGAGCTCACGTGAGTCCCTCACAGCAGCCTCGGTAGTTCTGTGCCAGGGATTCCTACCAATGAGGGTGGAACTGAAGCTCAGAGACATGAAGTCCGTTGTTCACGGGACGACTCAGGAGTGGCAGAGCCAGGACTGGAATCCTGCTCCCAGACAGACAGGGCCCTGTGCCACATTGCTTCTCTTTGCCCTTCCAGATCTCCTTTTCCCCTTCCCCACCTTCCTGTCTTCCCCGGGAGGCTGCCCTGTGTGGGGGGCACTAATGGACCCTGTTTCCTCTGGCTTCTGGGTGGTCAGTGGGAAAAGGAGAGTCACCTCCCTCCCTCGAGGTCTCCAGTAGGAAGTCACAGCTGTAAGCGAAGTCATGCTGCTTTCGAGACGGCTCTCTCCACAACCCTCTCCTTTATGGTTTTGATAACCACTCCCTCTGGTACTTTTGGACTAAGAACGGTAACAGTTCTGGAGTTTCCAGCAGCAGGAAATGCACTGGCCTTGTGGTTTCTGGTTCTACGTGCCCATCCATCCATCTTCTAAGCAGCCATAAAAAAAGAGTGAGGACGCTTTCTGAGAAGTGATTTCTAGGGTTTTAATCCTGGCTCCACCCCTTAAAGTTTTTTTGCTCCAAACACAAAAGAATGTGTATATCACAAGTGTAGAGCTCAATTAATTTTCACAAATTAAATACCTGTGTGGAGCCAGCACCCAGATTAAAAACATTGAACACTGCCACCACCCGGGAAACCTTCTAGTTACCTCGATACTTTGCCCTTTTATTAGATCCTCTTCAAAATGTCCTACTTGATTGGGGTTGGCCCCGTGGCCTAGTGGTTAAGTTCGTGTGCTCCGCTTCGGCTGCCTGAGTTTGTGGGTTTGGATCCTGGGCACGGACCTACACCACTCATCAGCCATGCTGTGGTGGTGGCCCACATATAAAGTAGAGGAAGATTGGCACAGGGCTAATCTTCCTTAGCAAAAAAAAAAAAAAAAAACCTATTTGTGTGCGCCACCTGCTACCTGAGTGATCCGTGTCTTCTCTGTCAGCCTGTGGTCTCCCCACCCCGCCACTCTGAGCTGGAGTGACAGAGTGCCCTCCTCCCTGGGGCTGTCTCCTCACAGGTCACGTACCAGCCGCAGGAGGTGGAGCCGACAACATCCAAGTTGGAGAAGCTGGACCCGCGGCCTTTCCTGAGGGTGCTGGAGGCCATCGACAACAAGTACCCGCCTGAGGAGCGGGGCGACCTCCTTGTCTTCCTCAGTGGCATGGCAGAGATCAGCACCGTGCTCGAGGCCGCCCAGACCTACGCCAGCCACACCCAGCGCTGGGTGGTGCTGCCACTGCACAGCGCCCTCTCTGTGGCCGACCAGGACAAGGTACCCCGTGCGGCCAGGCCGAGTGGGGCAGGTGGGCGGCTACAGTGTGGGGGAGGAGGAGAAGGGGGTCAGGGGAATGCGATTCCACAAACCCAGGGCTGGGGGCTGCCGAGGGGGATGCTCGCATCTTTTTGGGGGAGGGGAGTATGTGCCAGGGTGAGCCTCTGGTGGGTAGGAGGCATTAGAGCTGAGTTTTGGAGGACGAGGAAGAGTTTGAGTAGAAGAGGGAGGAAGGCAGTCCCCTGGGGGGGAGCCACTGTGAGCAAAGGTGTGGAGGTGGGAGTCTGTGAGTTGGACGTGGGGAGAGGTGAAGAGACCACCTGGTTGGAATGGAGGGTGCTGGGAGAGAGGCCTTTGGGTCACTGTATTAGTTATTTCTTGCCGTGTAACAAATTACCCCCAAATCTAGCTGCTTAGGACAATAAACATTCATCATCTCACCTAGTTTCTGTGGATCAGGAATTTGGGGGCTCTGGCTCAGGGTTGTTTGTGAGGTGCAGTCAGGTGTCAGCCGGGGCTGCATCATCTGGAGGCTGGACTGGGGCTGGAGGATCCTGAGATGGTGCACTCACACGGCCGGCTGTTGGCTGGGGGCCTCTCTAGGGGGCTGCGTGAGTGTCTCACAACGTGGTGGCTGACTCTCCGCTGGATGCCAAATCAGGAGCCACGGTGTCTTGTATGGTGTAGCCTTGGAGATCACATGCCATTGTTTCTGCGGAATCCTATTAGTGAACCCAGTCTGCCCTGTTTGGTGGGAAGGTACTGGAAGAGTGTGTGAGTCCCAGGAGGCGAGACTCACTGGGCCATCTTGGGGGTTAACTACCATAGTCACCTTGGGAAAAATCCGTTGAGGTCACACTCAGTTGTTCATTGATTGAAGAAACAACCTCTGAGCGCCTCCCCTTATACACTTTGGGGCTCTTTGGGACACAGTGGGAGCCAAGCTATGGTCCTTCCACTCAGGTGGCTGCTTGTGTGTTGGAGATGGACAAGTGATCAACAGTTTTACAAACAGTAAGAGAAAGGCTTAGGATACTCTGAGAGTGGATTCAGAGAAGGCTTCCTGGAGGAGGGGACTTGCAAAACTGAGACCTGGGAAAGCCTCGGCCTAGGAAGGGGGCAGGCAGAAGAGCGTCCCGACCAGCATGTGTGGAGCACTCACGCGTGCGGCCAGGGCTCTGAGCTCTGTGTCCGCCTCGTCTCCTTCAATCCTCGCCGCAGCCTGTCTGCTGGGTCCCGTTGTCATCCCCATTCTGCAGATGCAGAAACAGAGGTGTGGGCTCTGGTGCAGACTCATGTACGTGGCAGAGGCGGGCTGTGGAACTCGGTAACTTGGCCCCAGAGCTCTTAACCAGAGGTTGGCAGACTTTTCTGTCCAGGGCCACGGAGTACATATTTTCAGGTTTTGTGACCATATAGTCTTTGTCACAACTACTCAGCTTTACCATTACAGCACAAAAGCAGCCCTCGACTGACCAGGTGAGGCGGGGTTCCATGAAGACGTGTGCACAAAACCAGGTGGCAGGCTGGATTGGGCCCATGGGCTGCCCTGTAGTTACTGACCCCACTCATAACCACTGTGCTTGACTGTCTCTTGGGTCCAGTAGAAGGGCTTGTGCAAAGGGCCTGCGGTGAGAGAAAGACAGGGCGGCTGGGAGACTGCATGCAGGGTGGCTAGGGTCCAGATTGTGAAGGGTGAGTCAAGAGAGATGGGACTGGAGAGGAGGGCAGGCTTGGACCACGGGGAGCCTTGAAGACCCAGTGTGGTGCCCGGGCGTCGTCCCAAGTGCACTGGGAGCCATGGACGGTTCTGAGATGGCAGAAGTCTGCTGTAGCAGATCCCTCTGTGGCGTGTGAGGGAGGGACTGGAGGGGATGAGTCTAGAGGCCAGAGACCAGGGCAGAAACTGGGGCAGGGGCTGTGGAAAGGAGGAGCCTAGACTGGAGCAGGGGCTGTGGGTTTGGGGAGGAGGGAATGTTCAAGATGTTCAGGTGTGGCGGGAGGGGGAAGGGGGAAGGAGGGACCCAGGACAGCCCAGGTGATGCGGTGGGTGATGAGCCATCTCTGAGATGGGGACTTGAGGACGGAAGGTTTCAGTGGGAGGCGCTAGGCTGTTTCAGACATGGCGGGTGAGAGGCCCGTGGGGCAGCCAGACACACGGGTCAGTAAGGGCTGAGGTGGGCCCTGAGGCCACCTCCTCACTCTCCCCCAGGTTTTCGATGTAGCTCCCGCTGGAGTCCGGAAGTGCATCCTCTCCACCAACATCGCTGAGACTTCGGTCACCATTGACGGGATCCGCTTCGTAGTAGATTCTGGTAAGGGCTGCCCCCGAGCTGCCCCGAGCGCCTGGAGAGCAGTGTGGGGTTTGCAGCCGTGCGGATGTAGCAAGGGAACTCCAGACCGACGCGGGGAGTAGGTGGTGGTCAGGGCTGTGGATCCCAACGTCTTCGTCCTTCCCAGACATTCCAGGCTTGCTCTTGCCTCAGGGCCTTTGCACTTACGTTGTCTCTGCTGAGGGCTGTCTTTCTCCAGATGTCCACACGGCTCACTCCCTCCCCTCACTTCAGGGCCTGCATGCATGTCTCCCGCTTAGAGGCTCACCTTGTCTCCTTATTCTGAGCAATCTCCCCCTTCTCCTTCCACCGTTGCTTCCTTTATGAGGCTTCATCTTTCTTCACAGTATGGGCATTATGTTTTATATCTGTGGATCTGTTTATCGTCTGTCTTCCCAGTTAGACTGTTCTCTGGAAAGTCAGCATAGCATAGTGGTTAGGAGACACTGGAGCAAGCCTGGCCAGGTTCACTGCTGCCTGTGTGACTGGTTATATACGATAACAGCATATATAACAATAACAGCGTATAACAATAACAGCGTATAACAATAACAGGGCCTCCCTCGGGTTGGAAGGATTACATGAGTTAGGAATACACTTGGTTGGGGCCGGCCCCGTGGCTTAGCGGTTAGGTGCGTGCGCTCCGCTGCCGGCGGCCCGGGTTCGGATCCCGGGTGCGCACCGAGGCACCACTCCTCCAGCCATGCTGAGGCCGCATCCCACATACAGCAACTAGAAGGATGTGCAGCTATGACAGACAACTACGTACTGGGGCTTTGGGGGAAAAATAAATAAATAAAATCTTTAAAAAAAAAAAGGAATACACTTGGGTGCTTAGGGCAGTGCCTGGCACAGAGTGAAACTCAGTAAATGTTACCAGTTCCTTAATTGTACCGACTGGGAAATACCCTCGATGATAAACATTCCATAATGTTCTGTACCATTAAGAACATTTTCACATGCTGCCCATTAAACCTTGACATGCTGTTGATTTTAAGGTGCACCCCATTTTCAGAGGGAATCAAATGTGAGAAAAGACAGGCCTTAGACCTGATGAAATATGATGTCTAGGCCTGCCCCGGAGGCCTAGTGGCTCTGCTCCGGTGGCCTGGGTTCATTTCCCAGGCACAGACCTACACCACTCGTCTGTCAGTGGCCGTGCTGTGGTGGCGGCTCACATACAAAAAGAGGAAGATTGGCACAGCTGTTAGCTCAGCACGAATCTTCCTCAGCAACAACGAAAACAAAAATATAGTGTCTGTTCAGACCTGGGAGACCAGGGGCTTTGCCGTGCTCACGGCTGCGTCCCTAGTGCCTCGTACAGTGCCTGTGCCTTGAAGGGGCTTCGTAATATTCGTTGGGTGACTGAACCTCTGAGTAGGCAAAGGCTTGAGAGAACAGACGAGGTGTGCGAGTGCAGGAACGGAAGGGTTCATGAACAGAACGCCAGGGTCGGCCCAGAATAAGCTCTGGGTTAGCGTTAATGGAAGAAAGGAGTAAGTGAGGGTGTGGGCGAAGGAGTGACTGTGCAGAGGGGGTCAGGGGTGTGGAGGCCCCCGTGGCTCCTGCACCCAGGCGCTCTCCCCTCCCAGGGAAGGTGAAGGAGATGAGCTACGACCCACAGGCCAAGCTGCAACGGCTGCAGGAGTTCTGGATCAGCCAGGCCAGTGCCGAGCAGCGCAAGGGCCGGGCGGGCCGCACAGGCCCGGGCGTCTGCTTCCGCCTCTATGCCGAGTCGGACTACGACGCCTTCGCCCCCTACCCCGTCCCGGAGATTCGGAGGGTCGCCCTGGACGCGCTGGTGCTGCAGGTGAGGCCGGGTGAGGAGGGGGCGGGATCCCGAGTGCTGGTGCCGGGGGAGCCGGGAGCAGGTAGGACAGTCCCAGGCTGTCAGGGCCCGGAAGCGCAGGGCTGGCCAGGCCACGAGGGGAGCTCCTCCTGTCCCCATGTCAGATCCCAGGTTGAGGGCAGGACTGTTCCCCAGGTCCACAGGGTCCTGAGAAGACCCTCGTGACTCCATCGGGGTGCTTTCAGCTGTAGCAGAAAACCCGTCAAGAAGTGGCTTTTAAAACTGGGGTTTCTCAGTTCATTTGATGTCTTGACTCCTCTCTTGGTAGAGGAAACGGGTGCACAGAGAGAGAAAGTGACTGGACCCAGGTCACACAGCTGGCAAGTGGCACAGCCGGCGTTCCGTCTGAGGCTGTCAGGCCCTGGAGCCTGCCTCGTGAATGCCGCGGGGCCTTGGCGGTGTGGGCATCGCCTCCTCCTCCTTCACCTCCAGAGGCAGAAGCAGTGAACTGCCCCTCTTTGTGGGTCTCATTTTTAAGCCCACAGAACCTTTCCCCCTGGCTGATCTCCCATCCCGTCTTGTCGGCAGACCTGGGTCACCCGTGTCCACTCTGACTTGTCGTTGTCCGGGATCAGGACAATGGATCAGCAGTGATTCTGGGCCCCAGCTATCCACTAGAATCACCTGGAGAGTTAAAAAAGAATCATGCCTTTCCCCCACCCTAGAGCTTCTAGTTTAAAGGGCTTTCAGTGAGTGTTGGGTGATCTGCCAGACACCATCCAGGCTTGGTGAGCAGGGAGCGAGGTGGAACGGCTGGTGGCCGGGTAGACGGCCAGAACATCTGGTGCCCTCCAGATCAGAGCCGGGCGAGCAGTCACCTCTCTGGGGGACTTTGGCTGACCCCCGGCTCTGTTTTCGCTCTCACCATCACAGCAGCCACCATGCCAGCCTTTCCTCCCTCCACTCGTTAGAGAGGTGCTGTTTGCTTACGCCATGCCAGGCTTGGTGATGGTGCATTTCACTTCACTCTCCCCACGACCCGCCGCCCCTCTGCGCCTCTGAATTAATCGGGGTTCTTTTGGTTTAAGTGAGAGAAACCCAGCTCAAACTATCGTATGCAGGAAAGAGGTTTTATGGATTTGTGTATCCATTGTGGGGGGTGCTCTAGCTTAGAATCAATTCTAAGGATTTCTCCATCTGCCGTGGATGGGCTAATTTCCTGGCAATCGAGACAATACCCACAGAAGCCCTGGATTTCCATCCTGACCCCTCACAACCAGAGAGGATGCTGGAACTTCTCTCTCCCAGCGCCAGTTTGCAAACTCCCAGGGAAGGATTCTGGTTGGCCCAGCTCAGGTCACGTGCTCATGCCTCAGTCAGTTGCTAGGACCAGGGGCTGAGACACTGAGGTTGGTCCAGCTTAGATCTTGTGCTCGTTCCATGGCCAGGGGCTAGGGGAAGGGATGCTGGGTAGACAGACAGACAGACAGTGGCCCTCCTTTCCTGCCTCTGTACAGTGGGCACAGTTTTTTGCATTTTGTTTTATTGAGATATAGTTGACATATAACACTGTGTTTCATGTGTACGACATAGAGATTTGATATTTGTATGTAGGGAGCTTTTCAAGTATCCCCGGTTTGTGACCCCTGAGCCTGCCCGGTGCTCCACAGTGGCTCATGTGCTCCCCATTCCCCGGGGAGTTGGGTTCTCATTCCAGATGAAGAGCATGAGTGTGGGGGACCCCCGAACCTTCCCCTTCATTGAGCCCCCGCCACCAGCCAGCCTGGAAACGGCCATCCTCTACCTCCGGGACCAGGGGGCCCTGGACAGCTCGGAGGCGCTCACGCCCATCGGGTCCCTGCTGGCCCAGCTCCCTGTGGACGTTGTGATTGGTGAGGACCCCCCTGGCGTGGTCACACAGGAACCCCCTCACTCTGAGGGACCCCTCGGCGAGCCTGTCCATTGATTCACGAGTCCTCTGTGCGGCCCCTATTCCAGGCGCCGAAGAGACAGCAGTAAACAAAACAGACGCCTCTCTCGGCACAGCCTGTCCCCAGCTCCACCCTCGTGCCCCCTCTCTTGCGGTTGTAAGGATGTCACAACTGCCTGCCTCTTCCTCTTGGTCATTCCTGAGTCACCCCTGCCCCTCCCCGGGAGCTTATGGCTGAGGTGCGTTCATTTCGCCGAATTCTCCTGACTCAAGACTTTCTGTTTCCACCAACAATCCACAGCCCACAGCACGTTCCCACTGAGCTGTGCCACCCGTGACACCACTTCGCAAGCATGACGCTCAGCAGAGCCTTCCTCCTGTGTTAATGTCGTTAGTCCCCTGTGATTGCAACACAGGAGCTTCAGCGCGGGTGGGGCCGGATGCCACTGACTCTGAGGGCCGTCCACGGCTGTGGAGATGCTTGCTTTTGTTTGTTTCAGAAGGAAACAGGGCTAGAGCAAGGGGAATCAGATCTGGGAAGGAAAAGAACGTTCCGTGAGCATTTTCTGTGTGTCAGGGAAAGGCTTTAGGGACCTAGATCATTCCATCTTCGCCGGATCAGGCGCGATGCCAAGTGTGTGAGGCGCATCCTCTCCCCGAGGGGTGGGAATGAGTGCCTCTCGCTTTCCAGACGACCCTCCAGACGAGGGTCACAGAGCGGGCAGAGCTGGGAGGCACTCCCCAGCCAGGCTGACACCTGAGGGGCAGGAGGCACAGATGACACAGTGCTGGACGGTTCTGGGCCCAGAGGGCTCAGTCACCGGCCTCACTCTCTGCAGGTGGAGCTCCGAGCGCTTCACGGGGTGACACACAGTTCATCCTCAGAGCAGGTGGACGCCCTGTTACCCCCTTTCACGGATGGGGAAACGGAGGCACAGAGAGGTGGAGGGACTTGTCCCAGGTGACAGAGCTGGGGGTCCTGGGACAGCCTTGTTTTCCCACCCACCTTTATCTTACGAGGCTAGATGTGTCACAGGAACTTTCTGGAATGGTGGCCAAGGGGACCAGTGAGGATTAGTCAGACATGTGACACACAGTCGAGGCAGGTGGGCAGGGCCTGAGCTCGCAGGAGGTGCAGCCCAGGGGGCAGCCAGGTTCCTGCTGAGGAGCGCTTGCAGACGGAGCGGCTTCTCACTGCGTGGGGACAGGATTCCTTCCACTTCCCTGCCTTCTCTCCGTCCTTCCCTGTCCTCCTGCCTCCTCCCCCCTCCTCTCCATCCCCCTTCTTCTTCCTTCCCTGCCTCCACCTTGAATCAAACAAAGATGGCAGGAAAAGATTCGCCCCGAGGTGGGCACAGGAGTCCCCTGCTGTGTGCCGGCAGACCAGGTGACAGCTCCCGGGGAGGCCACATCCCGGGGAGGCCACATTGTAGAGGCAGGAGAGCCGGATACCAGGCGGGTCAAAATGAGTGCCGGGAAGAAGAAGAAAGCACAGAGCGGGGTGGGTGTTCCAGGGGAGTCGGTTGTAAAGGGAAGAGCTGGGCAGGAGGTGACATGGTGACAGTAGTAGCCACCACTTGGACAGTGCCCACTGTGTGCCCAAGGAGGCGGGAATCGTGGCTGTCTCCAATTTACGGAGGGGGAAACTGAGGCCTCGCCCAAGGTCACGTGCCTGGAAAGCAGAGTGTGTTTGAGTGTCCGCCTGGCTCCTGAGGCCGTCTGTGGGTGACGCAGAGGGAGGGCGGGACAGGAGACCCCGAGGGCCCGAGGGCTGGGGAGGCTGTCCCGGTGCCCAGAGGCTCAGCTCGCGGCCGCCCTCCCAGGGAAGATGCTGATCCTGGGCTCCACGTTCCACCTGGCGGAGCCCGTGCTCACCATCGCGGCCGCCCTCAGCGTCCAGTCGCCCTTCACCCGCAGCGCCCAGAGCAGCCCGGAGTGTGCGGCAGCCCGGCGGCCCCTGGAGAGCGACCAGGGCGACCCCTTCACGCTCTTCAATGTCTTCAACGCCTGGGTGCAGGTGAGGCCGGCGGCGGGGCCGCCCTGTCTGGCTGTCGTTCTCTCCGGGGTCAGGGCCTCCTGAGGCTGTGGCTCCTCCTCATGCCCCCACCCCAGGGAGGGCCCCTGAGCCCTCCGCAGACAGACTGGGCCCGCCTGGGAGGACCCGTCTCCACCATTCACGGGACCAGCGTGTGCAGAGGCCCCGGCTTGAGGGGGAGCCCAGGGTTTCTAAAGCGCCGACGGAAACCAGTGTCATCTAGAGAAAGCGCGGACTCCGGGGGTGGCGTCTGTTTATCCGCATGCATTCCTGAGCCCCTGCGCTGGGCCTGGCCCTGTGCTGAGTGGCGCTGGGGACCCAGTGACCTGGCCCTGCCCTCCTGGGGCCCACAGTCCCATGAGAGGGGACAGACCCGTCCCTGGACAGTGGCACCCAGAGTGGGCTGCAGTGGGGAGTCTCAGGGGCTGAGAGAGCCCAGAGGGGTGTCTGATCCATTGTGGTCCGGGAGGGCTTCCTGTAGGAGGAGGCAGATGGTGGGAGGGGGCAGTTGGGCTGAGACCTGGAAGGAGGGAAAGCGGGGGTCCCTGAGGGAGGGCTGACGGGTCCCCCACCCGCCTCGCCTCCGCCCAGTGGCTGGGGTTTGGACCCATGCTGGGGTGGAGTGGGGGTGGGTCAGCCCCCCACCAGCTGGCCAGGCCCTGATGCCGGTGTCTGTCCCTCCGGTGTCTGTCCCTCCGCCAGGTGAAGTGTGAACGGAGCGGAAACTCGCGCAAGTGGTGCCGCCGCCGGGGTGTCGAGGAGCACCGGCTGTACGAGATGGCCAACCTGCGGCGCCAGTTCAAGGTGAGGGCCGGCCGCCCAGGCAGACGGGGCAGGAACACACGAGGGGCTGGGGGGGGCAGACAGGCTGAGAGTGTGCGTGAGCACGTTCCAGAACACAGCCTCTCTCCTTCTCCCACAGAGGGATCAGAGTCCCACCCTACCCACCACCCCCACCATCACACGGCCAGGCGTGGGGGCGGCCGGGGCAGGGCACAGGGGTGGAAATCCAGGCGGGCTTCCTGGAGGAGTGGACAGGGTCAACGGTCACATACCGCATCCTCCTGAAGAACCTCGCTCTCTGGAGCAGGGTGCTGAGCCGGCCATGCAGGCTGGGTGCTGGGAGGCAGCGTGGGGCGATGCCTGGGGACACCACATCTGGAGCCGGATGTCCCAGCAGCAAATCCCAGCCCAGCCGTCTGCTAACACTGTGACCCTGGGCCAGTCACTGCACTCGCTGGGCCTCGGCTCTCCCTCTGAAAACGGGAAGATGAAAATAACACCTGCCTCACGGCATTCCTGGGGTTAAGTGAGCTAATACCTGTGGAGCGTTTGGGACAGCGCCTGGCACAGGTGGTCCCATCCCAGCGTTGGCACTTTTCACTGTTATCATTATCACGTGGTTCTGCAACTTGCTTGTGTCGTTAATATTCCACGCACATCTTCCCAGCTGAGTACAGAAAGATCTGCTGCTACGTGCCTTTCAGTGGTCAGGAGATGCTGTGGGATGAAAATATAACAAGAGTCGTGGTGTAACCCGCTGCCTTTGGTTGCACATGGGCAAACTGAGGCCAGAGTGGGCCGTCACCCGACCAGCGCCGCCCATGCCATTTTAGGGGGCCACACGTTGGGGACCACTGATGTCCCAACTGTGGTTCAACCTTTGTTGGGCCCCAGACACTGAGAAACTCATGGAAGGTGGGCCCTCTTCTCTGTGTCACACACAGACACACACACACAGACATACACACACACACGACATCCTACGTCGTCCATTGGTCGGGGCTCGGAGAAACAGAAGGTCAGATCATAGGGTCACTCGAAGACTGTTTACAGAGGTGAGGGCTGGGGGGAGGGCAGGGGGTCCCTGTGTGTGTCGAATCACCTGGAGGGTCTGTGAAATCCAGGTTCCCGGCCCCACGCCCTGAGATTCTGATGCGGTCGTGTGGGACGGGGCCCGGGACTTGGCATTTCTGACCGGTTCCCGGGTGTCCCAGATGCTGCTGCTGGTCGGAGGACCAGGCTGTGAGAACCACAGGGAAAACCCACAGGGGCTGGGGCAGGCCTGAGGGGGCAGGTCAGAGCCGTGACAGGAGCCCGCGGGGAGGACCTGGGCAGTGGTCACTGGTCTCCTCTCTCCTCCTGTCCCGGGCCCAGGCGTTCCCTTGGCCAACAGCGGTGACAGCTCTCTGATGGAGCAGCCATCTGTGCCCGCAGTGGGCACAGGGTTGTTCTCACACAGTCAGTTTCAGCCCCCAGCGGCCCTGGCAGGAGGTACTGGGAGGTCCCCGTTTTCCATTTGGGGAAATTTGTGGCTCAGAAGGGTGGGGTTGCTTGCCAGCAGGTGGCAGGCCCCAGACCTGAGCCCATGTCTGGTCCGGAGCCCACTTGGCCTGCCCCGTGTCCCTCACCCGGCCTCCCCGCTCCCAGGAGCTGTTGGAGGACCACGGGCTGCTGGCCGGGGCCCAGGTCCCCACGCCGGGGGACAGCTACAGCCGCCTATGGCAGCGCCGGGAGCGCCAGGCGCTCTACCAGCTGAAGCGCCAGCACGAGGAGGGCGGGGGGCGCAGGCGCAAGGTGCTGCGGCTGCACGAGGACCAGGACGGCTCCAGCGATGAGGACCGGGGCAGTGCGGCTGCCCGGGGGGCCGGCGACAGCGTGGACATCCAGGTGGGCCGCCGCGGGGCTGTCTCGGGCGGAGTTGACCAGAGTGGGGACACAGCCAGCACTGAGGCTCTGAGGGGACACGGCCCTGCCCCAGGGGTCTGAGGGGACACGTGGCCCTTCCCCGGGGGTCTGAGGGGACGCGGCCCTACCCCAGGGGTCTGAGGGGATGCGGCTCTGCCCCGGGGGTCTGAGGGGACACGGCCCTGCCCCGGGGGTCTGAGGGGACACGGCCCTGCCCTCCCCTCAGGAGACAGGTGTCCGTGGCAGGACCTGGCCCTGCAGTCCACAGAACCCCTTGGGTGCGGGTATCCTGGTACCAGCCCCTCGGGTGGTGGGGAGGCCCCCAGGAACCCCCCTTTGCCCGTGTGCCCCCAGGATGTGAAGTTTAAGCTTCGGCACAACCTGGAGCAGCTGCAGGCGGCCGCCAGCTCGGCCGCGGCGCTGCCCCGGGACCAGACGGCGCTGCTGAAGCTGGTGCTGGCGCGGGGCCTCTACCCGCAGCTCGCCGTCCCGGACCCGTTCAACAGCGGCCGCAAGGACTCGGACCAGGTGGGCCTTCCTCCGCTCCCCGTCCCCGCTGTGTTCTCATTCAGCACACCTTCCCAGCTCCTGCTCTGTGCCGGGGACACGGGGACCGAAACATCCCTGGCCCTGCCCCTGTGGGGCTCCAGTCCAGTGGTGGGGACAGAGCCGTCCCCAAACAGATGACCCAGAGTGATTGGGGCTGGATGGGGCGTCCAGAGGCTAAGGGGACACAGAGGAGGGCCTGACCAGCCTGGGAGGAGTCAGGGAGGGCTTCCTGGAGGAGGGGCCTTCTGAGTTGAGACATAGAGGGGGAGTCTGGCCAAGAGAGTGGAGGAAAGCGTTCCGGGCAGCGGGAGGAGCAGGTCTGAGGGTCTCTGTCACCTGGCCCCCGCCTGTGGCCTTTCCAGATTTTCCACACCCAGGCCAAGCAGGGCACCGTGCTGCACCCCACCTGTGTCTTCGCCAACAGCCCCGAGGTGCTGCACACACGGGAGCAGGAGGCCGGGGACGGCGAAGGGGGCCGAGGTATGGGGATCCCAGGGGGCTGAGAACCCCCTCCACGGGGGATGCGAGGGGCGGGGACAGCGACCTCAGGGGCCCCTCGCCGTTCGGGGGTCCCCCTTGTTCTCCCCACACTCCCGTTTGCTGGGGCTGCTGACGTGGGACCTGGAGGAGGGGAGCTCCCAGAAGCAAGACCTCGCTGGGTGGCCTTGGCGAGTCCGCCCCACGCTGAGCCCACCCTCCCCACGGCGCTGGCCACCGAGCACTGTGGCCGTCCCAGGGCCTGAGGTCATAGTGAGTAGAGCAGCTGTCAGGAGACCTGGCCCGGGAGCCCCGGGAGACCCCGGCTTCGCTGGGCCCAGGGGGCTCCCGCAGCCCCTGCGGGCGTGGAAGGCCGCAGAAGCCGCCCCAGCTGAGGGCGCCCTGTGCAGGGCAGGCCCCTGCCGCGGCGGGGGCGTCACACCTGCATCCGAGCGCCAGCTCTGCCTGAGCGCTGCAAGGCAGCTCGTCCTTCCCCTTGTTTGTCGAGACAGTAACATGCTCTCTGAAAACGGTGAATATTAACCCGAAAGGATACGGTTTATAGTTTTAAACATCTAAGATAGAATTTGAACCTTTCCTCTTTGGTCTTTAACTGCTGTGAATTCCTAGTCAGTTTACCCTCTTCCTATTACATTGTTTTTCTCCTTTATTTTGTAATTTTGGAGATTTCCAAACACCATCCAGAGAGAATATGACGGCCCTCGGTGCCCTCGCCCAGCTCTGCAGCTGTCACATTTGCCGCCCTTGTTTTTTCTGTCCCTTCGCTTTTTTTTTTCCTTTTTGCTGGAGCCTTGTGAAGCGGATCCCAGACGTCATATCATTTAGTAATGATAATAATAATAATGACTATTTTTTTCATTACCACAATGCCATTATCACTCCTAACAAAATCGACAGTATTTGTTAATAGCATGAAATAGCCCAAGTCATGTGCGTCGTGGCACAGTTTTAAAAATAAGCCACGGACGTTTTATTGTTAACCCACGAGCGTATCCTTGACGTGGAGGTGTAAACGGCCGGGGGGGAGAGGCAGCCCTGGGGGACGGACGGGAGATTAGGGGGGCGCTGAGCTGTCCTCCTGCCCCTTGCAGACGACAAAGACAAGATGAGCAGCAGGCACCAGCTCCTCGCCTTCGTCTCCCTGCTGGAGACCAACAAACCGTACCTCGTGAACTGCGTGCGCGTCCCCGCTCTGCAGGTGGGTCCCGCCCCACGCCTGCCGGCGCCCGCGGTTGGTGGCGGGTGCCCAGGGCAGAGGCCAGGGTGGGCCTGGAGGAGCTGCCTTCCCCCGGGCGGCTGCAGGCCTCAGCCTCAGACTGCACGTCGGCTGCTGTCTTTTCGTTCGTGTATTCATTCAACAATCAGTTGCTGCGTGCCCGCTGGGTGCCAGGGGCTGTTGAAGGCTGAGAGCACAGCAGTGAACAAGGCAAGACTGCTCCCTGCTCTCCTGGGGCTCACATCCAGCAGGGAGGACGGACAGTAGGGGTGAGACAGCACAGCACTAAATGCAGTGTCACGGGCACCAGTGTTCGGGGCAAATAGGAGGAATAGGAGACGGGGTGGAGTGCCGGGGGGGGGGGGGGACAGGGTCCAGTGTGAAATACGGCGATCAGGGTGGGCCTCCTTGAGAAGGCGCAATTGAGCAAAGACCTGAAGGGAGAGAGGTAGGAGCCATAGGGATCTCTGGGAGAAGAGCGTCCTAGGCAGAGGGAACAGCAGTGCAAAGGCCCTGAGGCACACACATGCCTGGCGTGCACGGGGAGCAGCTGGAACAGAGTCGGTTAGGGGGAGAGTGGCCAGAGATGAGGCCAGAGAGGACACAGCTGGACCGGGTGGAGGCCAAGGGTGCGCTCAGATTGCGGATGCGTGCACGGGGAGCAGCTGGAACAGAGTCGGTTAGGGGGAGAGTGGCCAGAGATGAGGCCAGAGAGGACACAGCTGGACCGGGTGGAGGCCAAGGGTGCGCTCAGATTGCGGATGCGTGCACGGGGAGCAGCTGGAACAGAGTCGGTTAGGGGGAGAGTGGCCAGAGATGAGGCCAGAGAGGACACAGCTGGACCGGGTGGAGGCCAAGGGTGCGCTCAGATTGCGGATGTGCTTGTCTGTGTGTCTGTAGCCAGGAGCAAGAGTCCTGACAGCAGAGGTGGGCACACCTTGCGAGCTCACTGCCGCCGCCCTGCGGTTCTGGGCCTGGCCTCTGGGGTCCTCCCGCAGCCCTGAGCTTCTCTTTATAGAGAAGACGGGGCTCAGTGGTGGGGGGGCATGTCACTTGCCTCAGTCACACAGCGACAAGTGGCTGAGCCAGAGCTCCGGGGCCACACGCCCCACCTCAGGCCTCCCCTGCCCATCAGGTGGGCGTCCCCAGTCCCCAGACCCCCTCGCTTCTGTCCCAGGGAACACAGAGGGAAGAGAGACCCTTTGGGCTCCCCAAGCCTAGGGAGGTTTAGTCGACCAACGCTGTGAAAGTGGACTCTAATTTGCTCATTTACATATTTGTTCAAACACTGAGTGCCTGCCTGCGCCACGCACCAGTTCCTGTTCTAGATGCTGGGGATGCCGTCATGATGGGGCTCGACGGCACTCCCTGCGTTCGGGGGGCTCGTGTGAGTGGGGGAGGCAGACGGGGAACAGAAGCACAAACACAAGATAAGGCCAGGTGCTCACATCCGTGCTGGCAGGAGGGGACAGCGGGGCAGGGGACAGAGTGCTGGTGACCAGCCAGACTTCAGGAAGGAAACAGAGATTTGCTCGCCCTCCGTGCGGCTGTTCCTGGTGGAGAGTCTGAAACATCCACGGAGGAGACAGAAGAGCGTGTTGAGCCCTCCTGTGCCATTGCCCAGCCCCACCGGCCTGCGGCCAGTCCTGCCCCGTCCACTGCCCCCGCCCCGTCCCGTAGGATTGGCCCCAACATCTTATTATGACAGTTTCAAACAGAAACATTAAACGAGGTGTCTAGTGAACCCTTGTACTCCACTCCCGAGGTCCTGCAGATAACGCGTGGTCTTCCTGCTTTATCCCGTCTCTGCCCCGCTGTCTGCCTCCCTCCCTCCCTCGTCATCGGTGGGCGTTCTCTGTAATTTCCGGGTGCATTTTAAAGTCAGGTGCCGCCATCGGTGCCCGTCACTGTCCAGCCCTTCAGCACGCGGCCCAGTCACTAGCGTCCAATATTTGTGTGTGTGTTTCGAGGATGAACTGGAGACAGAGGGACATGCACCAATGGTAGGGGCCCCGTTTGGTGAGGGTCGACGAGGCTCCACGTGTGCGGCCCCAGCCCTGTGAAGACAGCCTGTCCCCGCCGTCCGCCTCCCGCCCGGGCAGTGGCCACCCTGACTTAGAGCACGCTCTGTGCTTTCCTCTGTGATCTCTCGTCTGTCGAGTAGACTGGCAGCCCCCTGGGGCAGGGACTTGGTTGTGTCCACAGTTGTGTCTCCAGCCCCTGGCAGAGCGCCTGGCACAGAGCCGGCGCGGGGCGAATGTTAGTTGCGGGGGTGGCTGGTGGGTGGATGGATACATTGGAGGGACAGGAAGATGCACGACGGGTGAGCCAGCGGGAGCCCAGCCGGGCGGGGCCTCGGGTGGCGTCGTGCCCCTCACGCCCCCGGCCTGTCCCCTGCCCCCTCTCTTCCAGTCGCTGCTGCTGTTCAGCCGGTCCCTGGACACCAACGGTGACTGCTCCCGCCTGGTGGCCGACGGCTGGCTGGAGCTGCAGCTGGCGGGTAGCGAGAGCGCTGTGGGGCTCCTGGCGGCCGCCCTGCGGCTCCGCGCCCGCTGGGAGAGTGTTCTGGACCGGCAGCTGGCCCGGCAGGCCCGGCGGCCGGAGGAGGACGAGGACGACGAGGCTCCGGTCAACCGTGGGGAGGTGGCGGCCCTGAGCAGGGAGCTGCTGCGGTTCACGGCATCCAAGGTGCCCACCGCCCGGGGGCCTGCGCCGCCTTGGCCAGAGGGGCGTCTGCCTCAGGGATTAGGGCTCCAGAAGGCGTATTCATTTAGCGTGGGCACATGTGGGGGTTCTCAAACCAAAGAGGTGATGACAAACCCAAGGTCACGCACGGGTAAAGGCTGGAGCCAGGATCTGACCCCAGGAGCCTGTCTCCAGAGGCCACGCTACTAACCCCTGTGGCCCTCATTCAGCAGAGGCTTATTAAGCACCTACTGTGTGCACAGTGCAGGTTACCGCTCAGGAACAGTTAAGGGTGTGCGGGGTGTGAGAGGGAAGCTGTGAGGTCTCTATTCGTGGAGGACAGATGGGAAGAATTGGACAGAGCAGATTTGAAACCAAACCCCACCTCTAAAGTGGGGTGCTGAGAATTGATCCTGATTCTAGCATGTGTGGATGGGGAGAAGGGTGCAATCCAGGGTGACTTCCTGGAGGAGTGGAGGGACCCAGTGAACCAGGGAAAGAGGAACAGGCTGACATGCCGGGGGGAGGGGGAAAGTGGTCAGACTTGAAGGCCAGACCTAAGGTCTGGATGTGATCCCACAAGTGACAGGGAGCAGAGAAGGGACCTGGGGAAGGCAGTTAAGATGGGATATAGGGCATTAGGGCATGTTTTAGACAAACCTCTGGTCATGGGTGTCTAAAACCATGTTGTGATTGACTTAAGCAATTGGCCCCCATAAGAGAAAAGTTCAGGGGTGGACTTCAGGCACAGCTGGATCCAGGTGCCCTGATAATGCTTCCCTCAGTCTATCTCCCCTAACTCCTGTCCTTTTTTCCTCAGGTTCCCTACAGCCTCCGGCGGCTCACGGGGCTGGAAGTCCAGAACCTCTACGTGGGACCCCAGACCGTCACGGCTGCCCCCAGTCTCCCTGGCCTCTTTGGCAGCTCTACCCTGTCCCCCCACCCCACCAAAGGGGGCTACGCAGTCACTGACTTCCTCACGTACAACTGCCTCATGGTGAGCATGGACCCCACCTGGCCCCTCACCCTCCTGCCCCTGAAAATGGGATTTTAGACCCCCCACGCCAACCTCATTCCCACTTAGTCCCGGGGTGCAGTTTCAGAAGGGGCCCTGCCGGCCCTGAGGGCTTCTGGGAGGGGTCCCAGGCTGGCGTTGGGGGCGGGGCAGTCCTGACACAGCCTCCCGCCGCAGAGCGACGCGGACCTGTACAGCGACTGTCTCCGCACCTTCTGGACCTGCCCGCACTGCGGCCTGCACATGCCCCTCACGCCCTTGGAGCGCATGGCCCACGAGAACACCTGCCCGCAGGCCCCGCGGGACGGGCCCCCAGGTGAGGACGGCGGGGGGCCGGGGCGCCCGTGTCTGCCCGGCTGTCCGTCCATCCCCTGGTTTCCTGTGCATCTGGGCTTTCGCTGGGCGCTCTGGGCACTGACGGCCTCAACTCGCTGGCCCTGGTTGGTGCCACCTGGGCTTTGTCACAAACCCGGGCGGAGCGGGGAGCCCGGGAGGAGCGGGGCCTGGAGTGCAGCTCTTTCTCCTTTCTGTGTGTCTGTCTGTCTCTTTGGTCTCTCTGCATCGCTGTCTCTGTGTGTCTGTTTCTCTGTCTCTCTCGGCTGTGTCTCTTGTTCTTTCCTCTGTCCTGTAGCCGTCTCTGCCTTGGCCACATCCACCCTGTTGTCCCCCAGGGGACGCCACAGTGGGCAGACCCTGACACAGTGTCACACACCAGGGCTTGTGGGGGAGAGGGCAGCGGGACCACACAGTCCCCACCGCAGGGCCCTGTCTGTCTGTCTCTTTCAGTCTCTGTCTCTCTCCTTGTGTTTTCCTCTCCGTCTCTCTCACCCCCTGGGACACAGAGTCAAGACTTGCCTGTGTGTGTGTGTATTAATCAAGGAAGGCTTCCTGGAGGAGGCAGAGCCAGATTCCCCAAAGGCTGGGAGGGAGTCTGAGCCCCACAGGTGCCCGGGCTTTGGGTGGGGTGAGCACGCAGTGGAGCGCCCCCTCACTGCCTCCCTTCTCCTCTCCATCAGGGGCTGAGGACGCTGCCCCCGAGCCCCCGCAGAAGGTGTCTGCTCTGCAGAGGCCCTACCACTGCGAGGCCTGCCAGCAGGACTTTCTCTTCACGCCCACGGAGGTGCTGCGGCACCGGAGGCAGCATGTGTGAGCCAGCCTGGCCGGGAGCCCGCCTGCCCCCAGTCCAGGACCAGGACTCCCACCCGAACCCGCAGCGTGGGCTCAGAACTACGGTCTGGCCCCCACCCCACGGGAAGGGGGAGGGAATGTGGGAATAAAGTCTCCTGTGCTGACTCGGACCGTTAAGCCTGCTCCTGCCCCTTGTTGGTCCCCCCCGGTCTAGCTCTCATCCCTCCTGCTGCAGCGTGCCATCTGAGGCGTCCTGGGCGGATGTGGGGAGCTGAGGCCCAGCAGGGACTTCAGATTCCAGGGACAGGATGCTGACTTCCCTGGCCGCCGCTCGCCCCTCCGTCTCCTCGTGGCCTCCGCTTTCCCTCCAACCAGGGAGACTCGGCACGGGCCCGTCCACAGGGGTCCCTTTGAGAGCTGGGGGTGTCAGCGTTCGCGTGGGCCCACAGCTGCACGTCAGGGCCCACTCACGGCATGGTCACCGGGCCGTTCCTGCGCGGGGTCTGTGGGCCGTTCTCCGCGTCCCTCCGTTCTCCCGGCCACGCCTGCCCTACAGACACGGAAGGGACGGGGGACGCTGTGACGACTGGATGCCCGTAAACCGCACGACTCCGCGACATGGGAAAATGTCTTGAAAGACGCAAACTAGCAAAGCTCACCCAGAAATAAATAGATAAACTGTGTGTGTCTGTTAAGGACTTCATAGTGACAGACACGGAGCGCAGGCTGGGCTGGTTCACTGGGGGCCTCGAGCAGACGTGGAAGGACGAAATAACGTAGTCGACGACAGCTCACTCGCCGTGTAGAAGAGGCCACCTCTGGAGGAGTGTTATGAGGGCGGCAGGGCCCTAATGCCAAAGCAGATGAAGACAACACCAGAAAGAAGATGCAGACCGGTGTCCTCTATGGGCACAGACGCCGACATCTTTCACAAAGGTTTATCAACTCACATTCAGCAATATGTAAACAGAACAGCACGTCGTAGCCGAGTGGGGTTTGTTCTAGGAATGCAAAGCTGGTTCAGCATTTGAAAATCAATCAGCGTGACTTGCCATATTAAACCCAGAAAGTGTACTTGGCAAATTTCCACACCGTGTGGCCTTGGGTAAACCTCGGCACCTCTCTGCTCCACCATTTCTTTGCTCTGACCAGTGAACACAGCTCAACTGTTTTCCCAGAGGTTTTGTCTTGCTATGGAAACCTTGGAAAGCCCACGTGTATAGGTATTTTTTCCTGTGTGTGAAAGCAACGCATGGCTGTCTCGGGCAGGGATTGGAGCCTATGTAGAAACCACTCCAGGTGTTTTAAACAGGAAGGGATTTAATCCAGGGAACTGGGTGCTTATGAAACCGCGGGAGGCTGGAGCAGCGGGCTCTGGGCCGGGCCCTCAGGAAGGACGCCCAGGACGACAGCACAGAACCCCCCGTGAGGGCTGCCGCTGGGTTCAGGGACGCCCCGTCCTGGTGTGACGCTGGGGTCGCATCTCTGGAGAGACTCTCACTGCTGAAACCTGCTCCTTGGACAGAATCCAGCTGCAAGGGCGTCTGGGAGACACAGCTGCTGCGAGGAGGGTGGGGGCCGGCCCAGCCCGTGTACTCCCAGCGAGGAACAGGGAGGAAATGAGAGGACACGGAAGCACAGACGAGGAGGAAGATGCCACCACCGTCCTTCACCAGCTGCTCAGGCCCCGTCACCCCTGGGCCACGCCCTCCCAGGCCTTTCTCTCCTCGTGTTCATACGTGTGGTTTAACTCGTCAGGGTTCCACTGTCATTCTGTCCTCTCCGTGTCATACTTTTCTGTGGCTAATCTTGCGTATTTCTCCAGGTCATTATGAATTCTTCCAAAATTCGATTTTCTAAGAGCTGTGAAATATCCTGTTGTTGAGTGTGCCATTTAAATCATTGTCGAAACCCGTTTCCTCTTCTGCCTGTGGACTGATGCTGCTCTTTTCCCTTCCAGTAACACAATAGGAAATATCTTGGCATACATCTTTTTGCGGGAATGTTGTCCATTTTTTGAGTTCCTGTTTTTAAAAAGTTTTCTCCTTTATAGAAAATTTGGAAAAGCTGGAAAAAGTAAGGAAAGAGAATCCCCTGGAATCTCCCTAGGAGACCTCGGGCGTGGGGTGTGTTTGCTGGACCTCGGCGTGGATGGGGGCGCAATGCGTTGGCTTTTTCCACAGAGCATCAGAACAGAAACCCGGCCCAGTTATACACAGGCGTCCGAGCCCTCGGTCAGTGGCCGGGCGGGGCCCGCGTCCGTGACCACACTTCCTGCCATCCTACACGGCACTCTGACGGGCCTGCCTCTGCCTCATGCTTTTCCCCAAGCTTCCGGCCACTTCCTTAGGGTTTGTTCCTAAGAGGGCAATTGGGGGGCATCAAAAGGTGAGAACATTTGGGAGGGGTCTTCGGCACAGAGTGCAGAATTTCCACTTCTTTTTAGCCACCTGTCTTTCTGTCCAACTTACAAGAGAAACTGCATGCCCTCTGGTATAATAGCAAACGCTCAAATAGTGCTCACTTCACTTAATCTTTGAAACAACCCAGCAGGATAGATACTCTCGTTCCCCTCCATTTTGCAGATGGAGTAGCTGAGGCCCAGAGAGGCTGAGTCACCTGCCCAGAGTTGCACAGCGAGTATGTAGCAGAGCTGAGATTTGAATCCAGACTGTCTGGCTCCCGAGTCCCTGCGCTTAATTGCAATTCTCTGCTGTGTGTAGAGCTTTCCTTTTTCTTTTTAACAGCCAAGTAGAGCTCCACAGCGTAATTTATCCAGCCATTGCCCAACTGATGAGTGTCTGTGGCCTCCCAATGTTCTGATATAATCCAGGGTGGGTCCAGGTTTTGTGGGGCCTGAAGCTCATACAATTTGGGGGGCCCTCTTTGGGAAAAGCTACAGAACAAACAAAATTAGGGGCAGGGTCTTGAAGAGGGCCTGGACAAGCGAGGGGTCCCCAAGCCCCGGCTGCTCTAGCATCGCGGTAAAGCCCCTCTGCCCTCTGGACCGGCGACAACGGCCGAGGGGATTCCGGCGCTCGCGGAGCCCCTCGCGCCGCTCTGCGCATGTGCGGAGGCGGGGTTTCGCCCTCTGTCCCCGGTGCCGGGAGCAGCGGCGCCTGGGACGGATCTTGTGCCCGATAGGTAGCTGCTGAATATCTTTAACAGGACACCAGAATGCTAATCTACAGAAATACTGGACAAGTCGGAGTATAGTAAGATGAACTTTCGTTCATCAAAAGACATCATTAAAAGAATGGAAAGGCGAGGCACACATAGGAGGAAGGTGTTTGTGGTACAGACGTTCTGCAAGCATTTGGATCCAGAATATATCAAGAGCTCCTACAGATCAGGAAGAAAAAGACGACCCAAGAGAAAATAGACCAAACACTGACATAGACGTGTCACTAAAGAGAATATGCAGATGGCCCATCAGCAGGGGAGAAGACCCTGAGCTCCCTTAGTCATCAGGGAACCGCAAATGCACAACCACGCAGTGGATCTGCTGGAGCTGTCCCGCTGCTGGTGGGAGGGAGAAAATAGAACTACTTTGGAAAACCAGCAGTTTCTTTTAAACTTAAACACTGTTGACCTAAAGGAAATAAAACGGCCAGTTATTGTACCAGCAAAAATGGCTTTATTCGGGACTAGCAAAGGAACCACAATTCAGGACAAGCAAACTAGGGCAAAAGCCATAGGCAGTCCCACAAGCAAAGGAGAGGAAGTTATTTTATAGAGAAGAAGGAGGAAGTGCAGAGGGGTTGTTCTGAACAAAAGTCCAGGAGTGGAAAGCGAGACTGCAGGGTGGTGACAGTTTCTCATTGGCTGACTGCTGGGCTGGTGGATTTCTTGTTGGGATGCAATGTACACCTCTTCCTGTTGGGGTCTGTCATTGGTGAGTCTTCCTGTAATTGACACCGACTGGCGAGGGCGCCCCCTTCTGGCCTCCCGACTGCATTTTAAATAAGGTTTCCCTTTCCAGTGTTAATTTTCACGACATCCACTTACCATTTGACAGCAATTCCGCTCCTAGGTGTTTACCCAAGAGAAATGAAAACGTGTCCACATAAAATCTTATATGTGAATGTTCACAGCAATTTTATTCATAACAGCCCCAAACTGGAAACACCCAAACATCCAGACAATGGAGAGCCGGTGGCAGAGTCAGACAATGGAAAACCACAAAGTACGTGCTGTGTGATTCCATTTACGTGAAATTCTAGAAAAGGCAAATCTAATAAATGGTGATAGAAAGCAGATCAGTGGTTGCCTGGGGCCGAGGCATTGACCAGAAGAGCAAGCAGGGAACTTTCCGGAGTGTTGAAAATGCTATCTTGATTGGGGTGGTGGCTACACAGGTGTGTTTGTCAAAATGTATTGACATTTCATTATATGTGAACTAGACCTAAATAAAATTGATGTAAAAAGAAAACCCACCCTTTCCCGTCTTCATTCACCCCCCCGCCCGCAGAGATGACCATTAGTCAGATTCGCTATGTATTATTCCACTGCATCTGGTGTGTGATTCTATTCAATGATGTGCATATGGAAATAAAATGTTTTGATTTTTCAAAAAATGGGATCACATGCTTCTGCAACTTGCTTTTTTTCCACTTAGTATAATTTGGAGCTCTTTCTGAGTCAGCACGGAGCCTGTTCATTCTTTTGCGTGGCTGCACGGTGGTTCATTATATGGATGTGCCAAACATCTGTTTAACCAGGCCAGTATGAATAGACATTTAAGCTGTTTCCAATCTTTTGCTCCTACAAACAAGGCTGGCATGAGTATCCTTGTGCATGTGTTGTTTCCAGATATCTGTATATCTGTAGGATAAATTCCTGGGGACGGAAGGGAAGGTGTATTTTCACAGATCATTGATAGATTCTCTCAAATGTCCTTCCAAACAGGCTGTGCCTATTTACATTATCTTTATTTCCCCTGATTGCCAGTGAGCCTGAGCATCTTTGCATATTATCCCAGGCCATTTGTATTTGCTCTTCTGTGCTGGCTCAGATCTTTTGACTATGTTCTTCCTAGGCTCTTTGTCATTTTCTTGTTGGTTTGCAGCAGCTCTTTATATATGCTGGATCTTAAGCTTCATCGTAGATGTTACAAACGTTTCTCTCAGTCTGTTCTTGTCTTTTGGCTTTGTTT